CACACCGTGTATTAGAACCGTCCTGGTAAACGCTATTGAATGTGGCCACTGTGAAACATTACCTGGAGGTTTACTAACACACCGTGTATTAGAACCGCCCTGGTATACACTATTGAATGTGGCCTCTGTGAAACATTACCTGGACGTTTACTTACACACCGTGTATTAGAACCGCCCAGGTATACGCTATTTCATGTGGCCACTGTGAAACATTACCTGGACGTTTACTAACATACCGTGTATTAGAACCGCCCTGGTATACGCTATTGAACGTGGCCACTGTGAAACATTACCTGGACGTTTACTAACATACCGTGTATTAGAACCGCCCTGGTATACGCTATTTCATGTGGCCACTGTAAAACATTACCTGGACGTTTACTAACACACCGTGTATTAGAACCACCCGGGCATACGCTACTTAACGTGGCCACTGTGAAACATTACCTGGACGTTTACTAACATACCGTGTATTAGAACCGCCCAGGTATACGCTATTTAACGTGGCCACCCATAAACATTACTTGGAGGTTTACCAACACACCGTGTATTAGAACCGTCCTGGTAAACGCTATTGAATGTGGCCACTGTGAAACATTACCTGGACGTTTACTAACACGCCGTGTATTAGAACCGTCCTGGTATACGTTATTAAACATGGCCACTGTGAAACATTATCTGGACGTTTACTAACATGCTGTGTCTTAGAACCGCCCTGGTATACGTTCTTTAACGAGGCCACTGTGAAACATTATCTGGAGGTTTACTAACATTCCGTGTCTTAGAACCGCCCAGGAATACGTTATTAAACATGGCCACTGTGAAACATTACCTAGAGGTTCACTAACATGCCGTGTATTAGAACTGCCCTGGTATACGCTATTTAATGTTGCCACTGTGAAACATTATCTGGAGGTTTACTAACACACCGTGTATTAGAACCGCCCAGGTAAACGCTATTTAATGTTGCCACTGTGAAACATTATATGGAGGATTACTAACACACCGTGTATTAGAACCGCCCAGGTATACGTTATTTAACGAGGCCACTGTGAAACATTATCTGGAGGTTTACTAACATGCCGTGTCTTAGAACCGCCCAGGGATACGTTATAAAACATGGCCACTGTGAAACATTACCTGGAGGTTTACTAACATACCGTGTATTAGAACCGCACTGGTATACGCTATTTCATGTCGCCACTGTGAAACATTACCTGGACGTTTACTAACATACCGTGTATTAGAACCGCCCTGGTATACGCTATTGAATGTGGCCACTGTGAAACATTACCTGGAGGTTTACTAACACACCGTGTATTAGAACCCTCCTGGTATACGTTATTTAACGAGGACACTGTGAAACATTACCTGGAGGTTTACTAACACACCGTGTATTAGAACCGCCCTGGTATACGTTATTTAACGAGGCCACTGTGAAACATTATCTGGACGTTTACTAACATGCTGTGTCTCAGAGCCGCCCGGGCATACGTTCTTTAACGAGGCCACTGTGAAACATTATCTGGAGCTTTACTAACATTCTGTGTCTTAGAACCGCCCAGGAATACGTTATTAAACATGGCCACTGTGAAACATTACCTAGAGGTTTACTAACATGCCGTGTATTAGAACTGCCCTGGTATACGCTATTTAATGTTGCCACTGTGAAACATTATCTGGAGGTTTACTAACACACCGTGTATTAGAACCGCCCAGGTAAACGCTATTTAATGTTGCCACTGTGAAACATTATATGGAGGATTACTAACACACCGTGTATTAGAACCGCCCAGGTATACGTTATTTAACGAGGCCACTGTGAAACATTATCTGGAGGTTTACTAACATGCCGTGTCTTAGAACCGCCCAGGGATACGCTCATTAAACATGGCCACTGTGAACATTACCTGGACGTTTACTAACATACCGTGTATTAGAACCGCCCTGGTATACGCTATTGAATGTGGCCACTGTGAAACATTACCTGGACGTTTACTAACATACCGTGTATTAGAGCCGCCCAGGTATAACGCGTTATTAAACGTGGCCACTGTGAAACATTACCTGGACGTTTACTAACATACCGTGTATTAGAGCCGCCCAGGTATACGTTATTAAACATAGCCACTGTGAAACATTACCTGGACGTTTACTAACATACCGTGTATTAGAACCGCCCAGGTATGCGCTATTTAACGTGGCCACCCATAAACATAACCTGGACGTTTACTAACACACCGTGTATTAGAACCGCCCTGGTATACGTTATTTAACGAGGCCACTGTGAAACATTATCTGGAGGTTTACTAACATGCCGTGTATTAGAAGCGCCCTGGCATACGTTATTAAACATGGCCACTCTGAAACATTATCTGGAGGTTTACTAACATGCCGTGTCTTAGAACCGCCCAGGTATACGCTATTTAACTTGGCCACCCATAAACATTACCTTGAGGTTTACTAACACACCGTGTATTAGAACCGCCCTGGTATACGCTATTTAACGAGGCCACTGTGAAACATTATCTGGAGGTTTACTAACACACCGTGTATTAGAACCGCCCAGGTATACGTTATTAAACGTGGCCACTGTGAAAAATTACCTAGAGGTTTACTAACATACCGTGTATTAGAACCGCCCAGGTATGCGCTATTTAATGTGGCCACTGTGAAACATTACCTTGACGTTTACTAACATACCGTGTATTAGAACTGCCCAGGTATACGCTATTGAACGTGGCCACTGTGAAACATTACCTGGACGTTTACTAACACACCGTGTATTAGAACCACCCAGGCATACACTATTTAACGTGGCCACTGTGAAACATAACCTGGACGTTTACTAACATACCGTGTATCAGAAGCGCACTGGCATACGCTATTTAACGAGGCCACTGTAAAAGATTACCTGGACGTTTACTAACATACCGTGTATTAGAACCGCCCAGGTATACGTGATTAAACGTGTCCACAGTGGAACATTACCTGGACGTTTACTAACACACCGTGTATTAGAACGCCCAGGTATACGTTATTAAACGTGGCCACTGTGAAAAATTACCTAGAGATTTACTAACATACCGTGTATTAGAACCGCCCAGGTATACGCTATTTAATGTGGCCACTGTGAAACATTACCTGGACGTTTACTAACATACCGTGTATAAGAAGCGCCCAGGTATACGCTATTGAACGTGGCCACTGTGAAACATTACCTGGACGTTTACTAACATACCGTGTATTAGAACCGCCCTGGTATACACTATTTAATGTGGCCACAGTGAAACATTACCTGGACGTTTACTAACACACCGTGTATTAGGACCACCCAGGCATACACTATTTAACGTGGCCACTGTGAAACATTACCTGGACGTTTACTAACATACCGTGTATCAGAAGCGCCCTGACATACGCTATTTAACGTGGCCACTCTGAAACATTACCTGGAGGTTTACTAACACACCGTGTATTAGAACCGTCCTGGTAAACGCTATTGAATGTGGCCACTGTGAAACATTACCTGGAGGTTTACTAACACACCGTGTATTAGAACCGCCCTGGTATACACTATTGAATGTGGCCTCTGTGAAACATTACCTGGACGTTTACTTACACACCGTGTATTAGAACCGCCCAGGTATACGCTATTTCATGTGGCCACTGTGAAACATTACCTGGAGGTTTACTAACACACCGTGTATTAGAACCGTCCTGGTAAACGCTATTGAATGTGGCCACTGTGAAACATTATCTGGACGTTTACTAACATGCCGTGTATTAGAAGCACCCTGGCATACGTTATTAAACATGACCACTGTGAAACATTATCTGGAGGTTACTAACATGCCGTGTATTAGAAGCGCCCTGGCATACGCTATTTAACGTGGCCACCCATAAACATTACCTGGAGGTTTACTAACACACCGTGTATTAGATCCACCCAGGTATACGCTATTTAACGTGGCCACTGTGAAACATTACCTTGATGTTTACTAACACACCGTGTATTAGAACCGCCCAGGTATACGCTATTTAACGTGGCCACTGTGAAACATTACCTGGAGGTTTACTAACAAACCGTGTATTGGAACCACCCAGGTATACGTTATTAAACGTGGCCACTGTGAAACATTACCTGGAGGTTTACTAACACACCGTGTATTAGAACCGTCCTGGTAAACGCTATTTAATTTGGAGACTGTGAAACATTACCTGGAGGTTTACTAACACGCCGTGTATTAGAACCGCCCTGGTATACGCTATTTAACGTGGCCACTGTGAAACATTACCTGGAGGTTTACTAACAAACCGTGTATTAGAACCGCCCAGGTATACGCTATTAAACGTGGCCACTGTGAAACATTACCTGGAGGTTTACTAACACACCGTGTATTAGAACCGCACTGGTATACGCTATTTAACGTGGCCACTGTGAAACATTATCTGGAGGTTTACTAACACACCGTGTATTAGAACCGCCCATGTATACCTCACTGTATTGTTCGCAGAGCAAGTGGCGTGAAGGTGCATGTCGCCAACTCCGCCGCCATCCTCAGAGGGTTGGGGACACAGCTGGACTTCATCAGACCCGGGATCTGCATGTACGGGCTTCCTCCAGGTCAGGACCGGGCACAGGGCTCAATCGTCTTTCAAATCTGGCTTAGTATTTCATGCCATTATTATACCAACTATAGTCACACCATCGTATACCTCCACATACGAGTGTTTGTTGCCGGGTGGACGAGGGGGAGGGCTGGAGGAAGTTAATTTACCTAAAGTCGTGTGTTGACTTTAAAGGAGAGTGGCAATGATTTATTCGTATCATATGACATGTATAAGGGCGGTGAGGTAGTGAAAGTGATCGTTCGCACGACGAACGTGGTCCGAATCCCCACACTGGTAGATTGTGCTTTCAGATTGCACTAGGAGAGAAGGTGAGAGATAAACGTTAAACTGCTTGATAAGGTTATTTGGTGTTGGTATTAAGAACAATGCAAATAAATTCACCCAGTTTCGTCCTCAAATTTGCAGATCCCAGCACAGAGACTGCAGAGTTGGTGGAGTCCCTCGTGCTGAGACCCGTTCTCTCGTGGCGAGCTCGCCCCACCCTCATCAAACAACTGCCCCAGGGCAGGGTCGTGGGATATGACAACACCTACATGTAAGCAGAACAAGACATAGTGGTAATGACAGGTCATGCTCCACCATACTTCAGGATAGATAAGTTGGCCAATTACGTGCAATCGTCCCGGTGGGGATGCTGATTGTTCTTGAATCAACGTGTCTTTCGAAACAAAGGCAGTTCAGGGGAGACTGTATAATGAAACAGTGAGGATTAGGTATTATGAAGTGATGTCTATTAAATCTTATTAATACACATCGACTCAGATGATGACAGATGGTTCTTCCTGCTTCCAGGACTCGGGGTACAGAGACTATTGCAACTTTCAGTCTGGGCTATGCAGATGGGTACAACAGGCTATTGTCGAACAGAGGTGTGGTGTCTCTGGATGAAGGTGAGGCCGTTCTTCAGTTGTTCAATTGGTGTCCTTCTAACTAACCGAGAAACAAAAGTGCTGCATCAGATTCCAAGAATATGTTTTTACCTCCCATGGTTCATGCACTGTTTGAGAAGTACCTCAAGTAAAGGATGAATGCCCCCCACATAAAGTATGTTTCATCAAATGTTGGGTGAATGGTTAACCACTGACTTTAGAAAGGTGTTCAGAGTTGCATCCTTATGAGGAAAATGCTTTAATTAATGTTGCCTTGATTTTTAGTTTCAGTGTGGTTCAAAGTGGTATCACCCGAAAATAATTCATTATTACAGATGGTCTCCTGTGTCCAGTTGCTGATAGAATGATGAATGTCCCTCACATAGGTTTCGTTTCACCACATGTTTACTAAGATGTTGCATCCTTATCACAGCCCATTGGCCTTGACCTCATTTTGACATTTAGGTTCAGTGCCGTGTTACCCATAATTCATTCATTATTTCAGATGGTCTCCAACTTCAGGTTGTTGGGAGAGTGTCCATGGACGCCATCACAGTCCGCTTGGATAAACCAAAGCCTTCGTCCACAACGTTCAACATTATCACTGACGACTTCACCTCCCCCAACAGCGTGACAAAGATGGCTGCTTCTCTCGGCACAATCCCTTACGAGGTGACGACAAGTCTAGCTGCCAGACTACCTCGCGTGTTTGTGGCTGGTGAACATGCTGTAGCTATCACGAAATCCTTGGTGACAGACGAGAGATGATAGTGGATTGTTGATCGTGGAGGAATGTTGTCTGACCATCTTCCAGGTGTTGCGGCAAGGGTGTCTTGTAGAGAGTTAAGTCTCGAGTTGTCCCTCTTTTCTTACATTCCACATACTGTCGTGTCTCTCTCACAGAAGATCGTTGGTCCTGGATGGGGTATACCCTTTGTCAAAAACATTGTTCATGTGGTTACAGTGCATAGATATGTCCATTATTGGGAACAAGCTTTGGACTTTGCCATAATGAAAGCGTTATTGTTTCGCAATTGAAATACTGAGTTGTTAACATGATCCAGTTAGACATTAATACTTTCTACGGACAGCATTGGCTTGTTCATGGAAACTGTGTTCATGTTGCCCGGATTCACATGTACCTAAAAGTCAACAAAAGGATGGCCACAATTACCCATCATGGCTAAACATCTTCCATTTATCACTTGAGTTAAGTTAGTCATAATATTTTTGTAGCTAATGTGTTTGCAAGGCACTTTGTTACAGTGTTTTCAAACACCCATTTATGGTAATTGTTTCTACCTCGGTTATTCAGTATCCTTCACATTATTATTACTGTTCATTATGTAGAGGACAAAAGCTTCTCAGGGCAGAGGTATATTAAAATAGTTTATTTCGCTATATTTTTTATACTTATGCTAAAATAATATATTTCTAAATTGTATCTATTTAGAAAAATCAAGCACCTTACAATACAAATGAGAGGTCATTATTCAGATGACTAGGTCACAAATACAGGATATTTACTATCATTCACGTAGCACTATTCAATCAGAAAATGTAAAAATAGTTCCATGTGAAGCTGCCGGTATCGTTCAGTGAACTTAACCACTAAATATTAACCCAGCACCAGAGCCTTTGGGATAGTATACTTCGACGTGAGTTGAACATGACGGCAAGTTATATTTCAAAAACGATGATGCGTTCACGCGTTCACAAACATAGTTAAAAAGATTTCCCTGATAGATTGAAACTGTATTCTGAAACGTTTCCAGACAAATAACACCTCAACAGCCTCTCCATTTACCTATCCATGGCTATGAAATGCTACTGTCCAGTGAGTGTTGCTCTCCAAATTCGATTCCCTTCCTGAAAAAAAGCGAAATGAAATTACAGTTAGTTTTGCAATATGGACCTTATGGTGCCTACACCTCACTTCATCAGTACTTTGCCTTTAGTTTTGAAACTCATAGCCGAAATAACTAAACACGCTCGTAAGATTAGTGTTCATCTTCAGTCTGACCATTCAGATCGCTCTATGGCAGAACGAATCAATGCCATCACACCAAATTGCTAAGTAATCAAATTCAACGTGACTGTCTGTGTAGTAAATGAATCACTAAAATGAGTGAAATATTTACGTAATCCAAACACACGATGACTTCAACATATGTGACCAAGGGATTTTTCTTTTTAAATTTACGCACCACATACGTTGTACTTTTGTGTAACAGATAACAAAGATAATGGTGGTGTGGAATATTGTGATGATGATCTAACACATTGTAGTGTGCATAAATAAATGTATAATTTATAATAAATGGAAATACATTTAATTAAAAATATCGTTTCGCAAGCTGTTGTCATGTGTTATATGTGTAAGAAAAAAGTGTTTGCATGAAAGACAAGGAACCTCAAATGTTGGTTGGTTGCTTAGCGCCACACAGCAATATTCCAGCTATATGGAGGCGGTCTGTATATGATCGAGTCTGGACCAGACAATCCAGTGATCAACTCCATGATCACCGATCTACACAACTGGGATACGATGACATGAGTTAACCAAGTCGGCGAGTCTGACCATCCGACCCCGTAAGTCGCCTTTCACTGCGAGCATGCGTTGCTAAAGACCAATTCTAACCCGGATCGTCACGGGTCTTCACATGTACAATATATACCTGTTCATTGTTCATTGGTATAGCACGTTTCCAAGGTAACGACTTCTACAGAGGCAATACTGGCTTATGTTTGTTAAATCTAACATGTTGTATCGAGTCCTCAACAGAACTGGCTTTTCAGAAAGCATCGATTACAGTCATTTCGACAGCAAATATCTTGGAAAACGTGAGATTTCAAACTGATTCCAATTTGGGGTTTCTATTAACCGGATCAAGGAATATTCCAAAACAGGGAACCGGCTAGCGACAGTGGACCTACCATAATTGAACAGATCTGGCTGAAACACCACAACAGCATTTGACAGTAGGCCGACCAGTGTTGTTTATTTATTATATGCTATGTATTCTGTAACTATTTTAGAATGTTTGTAAATAATTAAATAACATACTTATATATTAAAGGTTCTGTGAATACTAATAAGAATTTTAAATTCAAATCGAGACTAAAATGGGGACGTAATCCTGACATATCTTTATTGTATACGGTATCATTTATAGTCATGTTAATTGTAGGACAGAAATATAATGATCATTAAAAAGTGATGTATTAGTGGAAACTGTCCAAACGTGCGTGACATGTGCTGCCGTATTGGACTGTTTGAATGAATGACCTATTTTCATACCATGAACTCCCATAGCAGATCTACGTTATGAGAAGTTCAAGCAAATGGGCTCGATGGGGGTAGCCTTGTGGGCAAAGCGTCCGCTGGTCACGCTGAAGACCCGGGTTCGATTCCCTACGTGGGTGCAATGTGTGAAGCCAAACCGTGATATTGCTGGATTATTGCTAAACGCGGCGTAAAACTAAACTCACTCGCTCAATCACTCAGGTGTATTTCCGAGTCTGTTCGTTTTGATTATCCGCTATCTACTGTATTTGTTGTCGTCCTGGAACTATCCCTGGGCACATGTCATTATTGTCCCAGTGCCAAGACTTAGAAGGATCTAACAACGCTATTCCTTTTTCATGTTTATTTTGAGAAAATGGGCCTCTGTGAAGAATATAGTTGTGCTCCTAGCAAGGGACGTTCATGGATAGATCATTATGTACGTTCCATAATGAAGAAATTTGCATTTATTTGGTTTGGTAATGTGACTGCATTATATCAACATCGAAGGCTCGTTTGCAAGCAGCATCCACGTTAGTGGCGTAATGAGGTAATTGGCATGGAGATCCGCCTTTCCGCAGACATTTCAAGATTCCCGTGTAGACTGAGTATTTGTAAACCCTAACGTTATCGGCGCACTGCATTAAATTGATATCAGGTTGTAGTGAGTGAGTGAGTATGGTTTTACATCGCTCCAGATACCTGGATATCTCCACACTGCCATGGCCGTAGGCGTTTGCTTTCACCACTGCTTTGATGTCTGTTAAAAGAAACTGTAAGGCTTTACATTTTGAGATTCATTTGACGTCCTCTGGACATGTACTTATCTAAATGTCATTTGGATAGCAGAACATGTGATCTTCTACAAGACAAGCAAAGGTGTGATGTTAGGCTCGCTAAACATTCAATGCGGTCGTAAAGATACCTAACATTATATGATGTAGTCACGGGTTCATGTTTATGTAAAGGCGATTTCGCCAAATGAATAGCTAACGGTAAATTGTAGGTATCACGCTAAGATCAACCTATTGTCTCGTGTAATGGCAATATATGGCCCTGTTTCTATAGAATATGCTGTATCTTGTCAAACCGCTCACGACAAGAGAACGGAGTGAATGAGTTCAGATTTACGTCGCTTTTAGCAATATTCCAGCAATAAATGGGTTTCACACTTTGTACCCATGTGGGAAATCGAACCCGGACCTTCAGCGTGACGAGCTAGCGCTATAATCACTAGGCTACCCCACCGCCCCTTATATCAGTTGTAAGTAAGCAAAGGCTTAGAGAGAGGTTGTGATATATGTATTTGATATTAAACAATTATACAAGTATTTGACTGAGTGAGTGAGTGAATTTAGTTTTACGCCTCTTTTAGAAATATTCCAGCAATATCACGGCGGGGGACATCAGAAATGGGCTAAAGTATTTGATGTGACTAAAACCGCTTAAGGTGTCTATACACCCTCCAACACCTTTATATCCTTTGTGTAGAACCGAAAGCCTGATCCATCAACCTTGATGAGCATTTTTCCATCAATATACCAATAATTCAATCCTCGACATCCGCCACCCCCATAAAATCAGTGAATTAAAAAGTAACTTCCTAAGTTTCAACTAATATATCTAAATTGATACTCTCCAAACATTCACTGTTCACGAAACTGACATGATTAGGTCACAGCTTAATTCCACTGATTGAAGTACGTACGAGTACACACATACGGGTATGAACTAATGAAAAGAGTGGGCCAAAAGTCAGCTTTTCATGATCAGCAAGAGTTGGACATGTATAAAAATACCCAATAGAAATGTGAAGCAAGAGTAAGAACTACGTTCATAATGTTCTGTTTCCTTCTTCACTTATACTCTATATCTACATAGCGTAATATATCCTATAGTGATTATGTGTAATATAACGGGTTTCACAAACACCTGGCATTGCCAGAGTAATTTAAGTATCGTCAAAATGAGATAGAATATTACATGGCGCTCAATATCATGGCATAGAATAGGACATTTCCATGTATTCAAATATTTGTAAGCTGTGGTCATAATATGAAGTATATTTCAATGAATTCATAACGGAATGAATGTATTTTATGTGTGTAGTTTCATACATATCCGAAATTAGCCATAGAAAAGAACATGCCTCAACTGTTTTGTTTTAACAGTATTTACTCAAAATAAAGACAATGCATTAGAAAAACAATACAGAACGAACAAAAAGATTGGCAATAAGGCCGAACAAGGCCTATATTATTGCCTCTCCCGAGAGAAAACAACTTAAACGAATTAAACAAAATTAAGAGATTGCAAAAAGGATATAAAATTCAATGAGGCAATTTTCAAAACGAACATAACGAGTTAGTACTTATTGTATTCTATATGTTATTAACAAAACGTTGGAGTTAATTATGAAATGATAAATGGATTTAAGAAGTAATTCTGTATCAGTATTGGATAAGTTGTAGTTGTCTCAACT